TCCCCCTCCCCAGTCCCTCTCCCCACCATTGTCCGTGTCCTTGGGTTGTGCATATATGCATATAAATTCTTTGGTTACTCTCTCCCCCTCCACCTACCTGCCCTCCTCCATCCCTCTGACATTCGTCAGTCACATCTATGCTTCCATGTCATTGAATCTATTCTGTTCATCAGTTTATTAAGTTCTTTAGATTCCACATATAAGCGAGATCATGTGATATTTGTCTTTCCCTGCCTGGCTTATTTCACTTAGCATAATACTCTCCAGGTCCATCCACACTGTCCCAAAGGGTACGAGATTCTTCTTCTTTACACCATAGTATTCCATGGTGTAAATATCCCACAGCTTTTTTATCCACTCATCTACTGATAGGCACTTGGGCTGTTTCCAGATCTTAGCTATTGTAAACTGTGCTGCTTCAGCAAGCCTTTTTTAAAGTAGAAACTAATTTGCTGATTTTGAAATTTATATGGTTCATTTTAAGAACTAAGTTGGGAGACATCCTATCTGATTTAAGACTACAATAATCAAAATAGTGTAATAGAAGCACATGACCCTAAGACAACATTTTCTAGATTTCCTAGCAGGTAGTTATAGACATAAGTCTAAATTCTGGCCAATGGGATTTGGCAGGAGTAATACGTACAACTTCTAGAAAGTATCTCTGAGAGGAGGCAGGTAGGCAGAGAGACCCACTTTCATTTTTACTGGCTGGAATGTGGACGTGATAGCTGGAACCTGAGAACTATTTCACAGGAAGCGACAGGATGGCAGAACCATTCCTTAGAGCTATGGGGCTAAACAAACCATACCTGAATTGCCTACTTCTGAACTTCGTTACATGAGAGAGAAATAAAGAACTATCATGTTTAACCCATGGGTGCTTCTGTTACAAACTTAATCCTAACAGTATTTCTTTTTCTTTCTTTTTTAAACACTGACTTGTTGTTCCACTCACTTCTGCATTTATTGGTTACTTCTTATATATGTATTTTTATTGATTTCAGAGAGAGGAAGGGAGAGGGGGAGAGAGAGAGAAATATCAATGATGAGAGTGTCATTGATTGGTTGCTTCCTGCATGCCCCCTGCTGGGGATTGAGCCTGTAACTGGGGCATGTGCCCTGACCAGGAATCGAACCGTGATCTCCTGGATCCTAGAGGTCGATACTCAACTGCTGAGCCACACCCAGCCAGGCTATTGGTTACTTCTTGTATGTGCCCTGACTGGGGATTGAACCTGCAACCTTGGCCTAATGAGACAATGCTCTAACCAGCCAGGGCCTCTAACAGAGTATTTCTAAGGCACAGAAATCTTATCTTTCTCTCTTCCCTTGAGAGAAGCAGCGGCATCAAAAGCTGGATAATCAAAGAAGACAGCTAGTGATGCCAGTTGTAAAAGTTGCAAAAATTTTAAACTTTTCTACCTTTAAATTTGGTAAACCTATTTTCTGGCTCACAAATTTCTTCCCCTACTTCTCTCTTGTCCTTGACTCTTTCTTTCACCCTTAAATGGTCCCATACCCCAACCCCTTAACATTAAATAAAAAAAAATATCTAACACTCTCTAAATTATACACCACATAGAAGATACTCATAAAGGAAAGAGAATCTCAAGAATGTCAAAATTTAGGACTCATTAAAATAAGAAAGAACTTACAACACGTATGGTAGTAAGCTGGGATGATAAGGGGGAGGTGGTATTGGCTGCTGGGATCGGTATCTACTACGTCCTGTGAGCCTCCGAGGCATAAATGGAGGATAAGGCTGTAGGAGAAAAAATGTTGAAACAAGTTAAGATCATTTACCTTTATAAATATTTAATCTGTCAAAGTCTCTTAAAAAAAAAAAAAAAAGCCTAGAAAGTTCTTTAATGTTCAAGTGGTATTTACTATTTCTTAAATGTTCACATAGATGCAATAACTAAGTTTAAAACATAGGTATGTTACTAAATACAATTTTCCAACACCAATGATTTCAACAATATAAAATTCTAAACATGCAGAGTTACATTGAAACTGAACTCAAAACAAGCAAGTTATCAAAGCAAAAAATAAATAACATTGAGTGGAAACTTACTACTCCAAAGGACACCTCTTGATGCAAAGGATCATGTGTTAAGAACTGCAAAGGAGCTGATGGAGGTAATGTTGGGGGATGGGCTGAGGGAGGGTAAGTAAAACCTCCTACTGGAAGATGTTCTCCTAAGAGTTCCACTTCATTTTCTATCCTTTGCAGAGGCTGAGGGGGGGAAAAAAGCAAACTAATGTACTTCCAGTGTTTAGATATGTTGCTATAATAATAAAAATCACACACCCCCAATATTTTTAAAGTCATACATTTCTTGATGTTCACATGAACCTAAATTCATACACGTGGACAGAGTAAAATCTTCTTGCCTTTAATTGAATTTCAATAAGAAAAGTCTCCAAAATATGTCATTAAACATTTCCACTATTCATTAAAGGATACATTTCTTTTACTGTTTCAGCCTTCTCTTAAGATGAGAGAAGGAAAGGCAAAGAGTCATGTAGTAAGCCAACTGCATGACTAAAATTACTTAAAACACATACGGTACACTGACCTACTCACAGGATTTTCAGACACTTAACACTTAACATGAAGTTGAACACTGTGTATACCTATTTATAAATCAGCACCAGGGCTAAATGGGTTAAGATATAGTAGGCATTACGCTGTAGTAGAAAGTTTATGGGTTTTGACATCAGATAGATTCTTGGTGCTGTCACTAATTAGCCATGTGACTTAGATAAATTACTTAATTCGAACCTCAATATTGTCATCTACAGAACCGATACTTTCACAGCCTATTTTGAAAGTGTGCTGAAACCACTGAGACAATATATAAGTAACACATAGAACACAGTGTATGTAAGCACATAGCATGTGGAATTTTTAAAAAGTAGCTTCTTGAGATATAATTCACATACTGTAAAATACACCTTAAGGAGTACAATTCATTTTTGTATATTCACCACTAATTCCAGAACATTCCTCTCCCCTTACCCCCTCATTAGTCAGTCCACTACCCATTTCTCCTCAGTCCTCCCCAAGCCCTGGACAACAACTAATCTACATTCCATTTCTATAGATTTGCCTATTCTGGACATTTCATATATACAGAACCACATAATATTATGGCCCTTGTATCTGGCTTCTTTCATTTAGCATAATGTTTTCAAGGCTCATCATCTTGTAATCTGTGTATCAACACTTCACTACTTTTTATGGTTGAATAATAATCCAATGTATAGATACACCATGCTTTGTTTACTCATTCATCAGCTGATAGGCATTTGCACTGTTTCTATTTTTTGGCTATTAGGAATAATGCTAAGGACATTTGTGTACACATTTTGTATTGATGTTTTCAGCATATTCTTAAATGTTAGTCTGACTTCCTCCCTCAGTTATAGAGAATATTACTCAAATACAATTACTAACACTTTAATTTGAAAGTTTATACATGCTTGAAAGAAATCACAAGTGCTGACACTATGACAACACAAGTTCTGATTTGGCTATGTGACTGGACCTTTTAAATAATTCCAAATTCAGATATGAGTGATGGTCAAATTTTGTTTTAACTTTGAATTCCCAGGTACTGGAAGCTAAGGAACAACCTGGCATGAATTCTGTCCCAATTCTAATAAAAGATTTTCTTGTAGAAGTAGTTTTAACTTTTTGGATGAAACTTCTGTCATAATTGGCTTCTATAGTTTCAGGAGAGCAGCCAGGTAGGTTCATCCCTGCCTGTGCCCCAGCATGGTACATAAACCCTTAGTAAAGGATGGTTAGGCTCTACCAGAACAGATTGTCAAGTTCCTTTCACAGGGCTGAAATCTTAAACTCTAACCATTTTCACATGATCTTTCTCCTATTCTCGTAATGCCTGATATTCAGATGTTCAACTTGGGCAATCCCAAAACAACTGGGCCTTCTTCCTGTGCCTCTCAGCTATATTCCAGTCCCAGGACAGAATTAACTATGTTAACAGACTATCTCATCTACCTTTCATAAGAACAGAGTAGAAAAACAGGCTTCATAACAACCAATTGAGGCTCAGAGGATTACTTTACTTGCCTAAATGAATTTAAATTATTCTAACAAGTATAGACAATTTTATAATATTTTCATTTTCCATTTTAGAAATACATAAAAGGAAAAAAACAGGAAAACTGACTTTTTCTTCACATTTACTTCCTGAAGGATTGCAGACATGAGGAACATATTTAAGTCACACAAGTTACATAAAATAACTAGAAATTTAAGAAACCAAGATAACTCTCGATTAATTTACCTATATTAATTTGTATGCCTTTGGATTCCTTAATTCTTTTAAGAACCAGAAGAATGTCCAAGGCATAGTTTTTAAATGGTAACAACTTATATCTACTAAATTAATCTACCTTTGAGGTCTAAATATTCTGTGAATATTAAAGACATAAAAGTAGAAATACCTACCGATCGTGATTGCTGTGTTTGGAAAGGGACAAACTGGCCTGGGGGTGGCAAATGAGGAGGATGATGAGGAGAAAGGTGAGGAGGATGTAAAAGAAATGGGTCACTAGAAATAAGGGGCGGGAATGCAGCATATGGGACCGGTAAGTGCTGAACGGAACACGCCTGCAGCATCTGTAAGAGAAACCGAGATGCTATTGCCATATCCCCCCAAATCGAACCAGAATGTTTTAATAACCTATATTAACTATGAAATATTAGTGTATGTTTGTAACTATTAGTAAAATACTGGTAACTAGTAATTATTCTGTATCTTATATAGTTCTTACAAACCAGTCAAAACACCTAACTTTTACTTTAGCCTTATTAACTATGAAATGGGAGGAATCTCTCTCTACTTGGTTTAAGATGCGGCAGATACTGCTTTCCAAGAAGCTCTCTTTTTTAATCTTGTAGAAATTTTTTATTTCTAAGATTTTTATATTTATAGGAGCCCAATTCACAACTAAGTGATTTATGGTCTTCTCAATAACTGAGAAACCAAGCTTGGGTAAATTATTCTGTTAAATTGGGCTGGTATTTGTTGATGTGTGTTCATTTTAATCTCACATTCAAACAAACGTATTAGGGTTGTATTAATAAATTTAGCAAAGTGCTTTACTTTGAAAACATAATTGACCTTAGACAAGTAATTTAAATCTCTTGGATTTCAGCAACCCCATTTGTGAAATAGAGACACTGGATGGATGGGGGGGAGGGAGGGTTGGTAGATTAAAAGATTAAGTTTAAAAGGCAGAAAGAAGTGGGTGTAAATCCCTGTTCTCTCATACTGTCTCTGTAAGCAAGTCATTTTCATTTCATCATCTAGAAAATGAGGGATACCATTTTCATCACAGGCTTCTTATACTGAGGAATAAATAGACCAAGCACTTGAAGTGCCTGTTAAATCCCATTAACTTCTGAGACTATTACTGCTGATCACTAACTAGACTTTATTACTAACAAGTCCAATATCCTATGTTAATACTCCACAGCCAACCTAAATTAAGATTTAATTATAACTGTGCTGATATACAAAGGAACATGCTTTGACCTTCAGGATATTCAAATATGTATAATTTAATTAATGTAAAAATATATCAAAATTTAAAGCTAATTTTATTAAACTGTTACTATAACAAAGCTATTGAGATCGCCACTGCAATAAAATAGCCTTTTTTAGTTGGAAGTGAAAAGCTACAGAAGGCAGTCTCTTAAATTTTGTTTACTTATATAACACACTTAGCCATTCTAAAGAGGGACTGCACATGCCCGGCCGGGCTTGGCTCAGTGGTTGAGCATCGACCTAGGATCCTAGGCGATCAGGGTTCGATTCCCGGTCAGGGCACATGCCCGGGTTGCGGGCTAGCCTATCAGTGACTCTCATCATTGATGTCTCTATCTCTGTCTCTGCCTCTCCTCTCCTCTCAAATCAATAAAGATATATATATATATTTTTTTTTAAAAAAAAAGAGGGATTGCACAGACTTACTGGAGGAGGCACACTACAGACAGGGAGGTGCTGTCCACTGAAAACCACAGAGCATCCTGGGACCTGTTGTGTACTGCATGCAGGGATGTGCTGGCCTGTGCAGAGCGGAATCCCATGTGGTGCCACTGTTGTTACTGTATAAGAAACAGGGACTGTGCCCTGATGGAGCTATTAGGAAAGAAAAACAAAACATTAAAATTTTGGTTGTCTGGATAAAACATTAACTATTAAAAATCAAAATCTGGTCATTTATTGATTCTCAGGTACACAGATTTTCACAATGTATTTCTTCAACAGTTTCAACTAAACTATTCTATGTCATTGGATAGAAAAGCTGTCTGTTTCAAGAGTAGTATATGATGCCCACAGAACTTGGAATAAACTTAAACTCTTCCTTCAAAAAGATTTCCTAAAAAGTCCAGGAAAAGAATCAGTTGCTATTTTAACTCTTCTAGACTACTAAAAACTTTTCTAAAGAGAAAACTTGGGAAAAGGACAGCTTTCATCTTCTAATACCTGGCCACATCCAACAGGAAAAAAATTTTTGTTTCATTGCAACTAGAGAAACAACAAAGAACAGTATTTTTAAAAGTTAAATAATTTCCTTCTCTTTTGGTCAGTCTTATTCTCATTCTACTTATCCTAGGACAATGTTAATAACATATCCTTCACATCTTTCTCCATGAGCCTACGAACATACACAAGCATGATTACCTACAAATTGTCATCATGTTTATTTTTGTTTTCTTAATAGAAATGAGATCATATTACCCTGCAACTTATTTTTCAATTGATAGATATCTTTTCAAGTGAGTTAAATGTAATCATTCTTTTTGATACTAGCCAGATTTTCAAGTAAACTCACTTAACACAGTTCTATCATTCCTCTAATAATGGACATTCAAGTTTTCACTCTTTTGCCAATATAAATACAATTTAAAAAAATATCATTGAATATATATTCTTACATATTAGTAGCTTTATTTGTTTCAGAGTTATTACTGGGTAAAAGGATAAATGTATTGCTCTGGCCAGTGTGGCCAGTTGGTCGAGTGTTGTCCCATGCACTAAAAGGTCGCTGGTTGGATTCCCAGTCAGGGCACATGTCAGGGTTGTGGACTCAATGCCCACTAGGGGGTGCGCATGCAAGAGGCAGTGGATGGATTTTTCTCACATCAATGTTTCTCTCTCCCCCTCTCACTTCCTGTCTCTAAAATAAAGAAAAACTTTTTTTTTCTTTTTTAAAAAAGGATAAATGTATTTTAAACTTTTGCAAATAGCTGGATGGAGTAAGTTACAATCCCAACACCTACACTCAATGTAGATATACTTGGGTTACCTGAAGAATGAAAAAAACAGTATCAACATACTTGCTTTATATTTGCATTTCTCTGATTAGAGAGGTTGAACATTTTAAAATATGTTTATTAACCATTCAGATTTCTTTTTCTGTAAGTAATCTATATCCTTTGCTCAATGCCCATTTTCTATTACATTGTATGTACATTCACTTATCGTTTTTTTTAAAATTAGAAATAAGCACCTATTGGGCAGTGGGTGCATGATGCAGTGTGCAGATGATGTTTTGAGTTGTACATGTGAAACCTGTATGGCTTTGCAAACCAATGTCACCCCAATAAATTCAATAAAAAAGAAAATTTAAAAAACAGAAATAAGCACCTATTGCTTGCCATGTGTAAAACCTAAAAAAAAAAAAATCAAAAAAACTTCCCAGTCTATGTTTTATCTTTTAAAGCTAAATGCTTTAATGAAAATTTTTCTTCCATAATCTATTTATTGAATGTAGTTTAAGTGTAGCTTTTGTAGTTTCCTTTATGAAGTTATACAGGGTGGTGCAAAAGGAGGTTTACAGTTGTAAGTGAAACAGTTTATTCTTGGAACATTTATTAATTATTGTATTATTTTCCATATGAGCAACTATAAACCTACTTTTGCCCCACCCTGTACATGTATGCTCCTAAACTTTCTAATACTTTTATTTTTTATATTTAATTTATACTCCAACTAAAGTATTTTTGTTAATACTGTAAAGCAAAGCTCTAATTTTTCCTTACAATTATACTTGTTCCGTTTATTAAACCATCCTTTTCCCTCTGAACTGAAATACCATCATTTTCCCATTTAGTAACATCCCACATACACCAGTATCCATTTCATGACAAATTTGTGCTGTTTCAATAACTATATAGTATCTTATTACAAAGGTTAATATCTAATAAGACAAATTCTTTTCATTACCATACTTTCTTCTCATTTTATTTTTTGGCCATCTTTACACACTTATTCTTATGTAAATAAACTCATAATTTTAACCAGTTTGAAACCCCACTGATATCCTGATTTATATTAATTTGTGTTAAAGGTTATGTTATTTTACAAAGGACACATAATTTTTTATTAAGGTTGTTTCCACTAGAACATTATGCCACCACATGTTCAATACTATGGTACTATCCTTCAAAAAATTAGTTTTCTTCATAAAGATATTACTAAATTTATTCCTCCAAGTTCTCTTTCTCTTTTAAGTTTGTGGGTTTTGTTACATTATCAATAGATTATTTTTCTCTATTTTCATTTAAGACCTTTGACTACAGAAATGACTACATTATATATATATTTCCATTTATTAACAAAATATTTTCTCAGTATATTGGAATTAATCCCCTTGAAAGACTTCCTAATGTTGAACTTATGCTCCATTTCCAGAATAAACTCTAACATTAATTCTTTCAATAATTCTAATATTCTTTTACATCACTAGCTATAATTTATTTTTAAAACATCTGCATCTGTATTCAAAAGGGAAACTAGTTGACAGTTTTGTCTTACTGTCTATGAGATTTCATTATTAAGGTTATGCAAGCTTCATAAAATATACTTGGAAGCTTTCTTTTACTATGATCTGGAATACTTTTAACTGGAACTTAATAAATTATCGGTTCTTAAGAGATTAGACAATTCAGATGTCATTTCTAAAAACAGGCATTTTATCATTTCTTTAATTTCTGCCATGGCTATTGTTAACGTTTTCTATATCTTGGATTGTTCTAATATATACATACGTAATTGTTTCATTTCTCATTAATATACACCCAACATATAATTTGTCTTAAATGAGATCTCACCTCTTCTGAGTCTTTTCCTTTTCTTTCTTTAATTCCATCCTTAACCACCTTCCTGTTCCCTTCACTTTAGCGCACACACCCCAAGTCCAGTATATATATTTCATATTTTTCTTTGTGTTCATATAGTCCAACATACACATATTTAATCATGGTTTGCAAAATGGGACATAACACTGTCCCCTCGATTTTGCCTCCTTTGCTCAGTATCTTGCAGATATTGTTCACATTCCTGGCATAATTCTAATTAAATCTTTGTAATATTACATTCCATGGTATGAAGAAATTATTTATTCTACTTTTCTATTAATAAGTAATCACTGTTTATTCCTACTTTCTGTTTCTATGAACTTGCCTATTCTAGACATTTCATATAAATGGAATCTACAATAATCTATGGCCTTCCAAGACTGGCCCCTTTAACTTAGCATGTTTTCAACATTAACCCATGGTATAGCATGAACTGGTACTTTATTATTTTTTTAGTAATATTCATTGTATGGATATAACATATTGTATCTACTCATCAATTGATCAAAATAAATTTCTGCTTTCTGTACATTTAATTTGTATTTAGGCACCATATCAAAATCTTTCAAAGCAGAATCTGTGTTTTCTTCTACAATTTTATGAGGGTAAGAAAGAATTATTTTTAAAATTTTTTATATCCATTAATTACTATATTATCTTAACTGCATTTGGTAGAACTTCTAATGTAACATTAAATAAAAATGGACAGAGTAATGTAAGCATCTCTGTGGTTGCTGATTTGTCTCTCACCAATTAGGATACCTGCTGTTAGTTTTACTTAAATATGTTCCTTTTTATTCTGTTTTTTTCCAGTTTTTATTAAATTTTAACTGACTTTTCAACATCTTTTGATATAACCATGTATGGTTTTCCTTCTGTTATTTGACGTAATATACTTTCATATTAAACTATCCTCTTACTTGGGAATAAATCTTATTTGGTTATAGGTTATTATTCTTTTGCTACATTGCTAGATTGTATTTTTAAAACATCTGTTGAGAAAGCCTTATGTATTTGAGAGTTTTTTCTAGTTTTTGGGGGGGATTACCATCTTTATTTGCTTTTGGTATGAGAATTATGCTGGCTTCATAAAATCACTACAAAAATTGCCTTAAGAAAAATAAAGTCCGGAATCATTTGATTATTATTAAAATGAGTGTTCCTTGGAGCTTAAAAAAACAGCTGTGAAGCCATCTGGTCATTGTGCCTTTTTAATTGTAATCTAGAATTAGCTTTCACACTTCTGTGGTAATTCCAATTTTCCTATTATTCTTGGGTCATTTTCTGAACTTCCTTTAAGTTTTCTTTTTGTCTCCTCAGAGTTATATATAGAATTTCATTATCATAGTTAATAATGAAGTAATATACTTGAGCACTTACTACTTGTACTAGCTGAAGTGCTCAAAATGGATTAACTCTCAATTCTCCCAACATCTCTTTTGAAATAGGTGCTATTTTCATTTTACAACTGAAAAAAATTCTGTGACTGTTTCTCATGTGTGGATATGTCTTTTAATTATTCCTACTTCTTTACATGTGTCCATTTCTCCTTAACCAAGTTCACAAGAGGTATGGCATTCTTATCAAATTTTCAAAGCATTTTGATCCTAATTTTCTAAAGTTCAACTTTCTTCTAAGGAAGCTGTGTAAAATTTACATTTCAATCCTTATGAAAAAGGATGAACTTGTCTTAAAATTGCTTCATATCAGGTAAAATTGTTTCCTGCTAGGTAAAATTAAAAGAAATTTACAACAAAATACAAACCACCTCAATAAAGTGCCACCAAACTGTCTATATTTCTTGGACTTTCGGTTACTATACCTGATCATGTATGTCAACCATTACTGCATTCTGCTGGGGTGGATGAGCAGCAGGGTGTAACAGACGGGGGGATACATTCGGAGGGTGGAAGGCTCGAGGTTCCTCTATTGCTTGCTGCTGTGCATAAGGGAGATGGTGATAATTTTCATCTTGACTAATGGAATTATGTCGAGACAGTCGATCCCTTCTTCCTCTCTGACGTCTGACAGGAGGACTGCAACGCAGCAAATATCAGAAAGGTCATTATAATGTTTACTGCTGTGATGTATCAGGATTCTGTGTTGTCCTTCTTTACAATCCATCAGTAGTTTATGCTAAGGTAAGCTTGAACATTAAATAAGTGCTGTAGTTCCCCATCAGCTATAAAAACTTACAAATTTAAATAAAGTATGTTTTAAAATTAAAATAGTCGCCCAGCCGGACGTGGCTCAGTGGTTGAGCGTTCACCTGGGATCCAGGCGATCGGGGTTCTATTCCCGGTCAGGGCACATGCCCAGGTTGCGGGCTCGATCAATGACTCTCTCAGCATTGATGTTTCTATCTCTCTCTCTCTCTCCCTCTCTTCTTTCCTCTCTCTGAAATCAATAAAGATATATTTTAAAAAAATAAATAAATAAATAATATTAAATTAAAATAGTTAATATACAATATTGCCTTATACAGGTGTACAACAGTTATCCAACAATTAAATACCTAAAGAAGTGATTACCTTAAGTCTAGTAACCATCTGACAACATACAAGGTTATCAAAATTCTCTTGACTACATTCCCTATTGCCATACATTACATCCCTGTGACCTTCTGATTTTAAAACTGGAAATCTGTATCTCTTAATCTCCTTCACGTTTTTTGCCCTTCATTCTACTCTCTTCCCTTCTGGCAATCATCAGCTTGTTACATAATATAATGTATGTTTTTTTAAAATAAGGAAAACAAAATTGGTATTCAGATCTGAAAGTATTTAGAAATCAACAGCCAACCACTGTCATTTTTTTTAACTGTATGAGACTGCTTTTTATAGACAAAAATTGTCAAATATCAGCAATTTCATATTTTATTATTCCCCCCCCTTTTTAATAAACATTATATAACAAAATTTAACCTGTATATACCTTTGCCAGTTCCACATATGCATAGTGGGAACTTTTACATTTGTCTATTTGGCTAAAACATACATAAAGACATAGTTCCTATATGCCCAAAATGACAACTGAAAATTCATGAGCCTGGCCAGGTGTGGCTCAGCGGTTGAGCATCAACCTATGATCCAGGAGATCGAGGTTTGATTCCCAGTCAGGGCACATGCTCCGGTTGCAGGCTCAATCCCCGGTGGGGGGCGTGAAGGAGGCAGCCGATCAATGACTCTCTCATCATTGATGTTTCTCTCTCCCTTCCTCTCTGAAATCAATAAAGATATATTTATTTAAAAAAAAAGAAAATACATGAAATAACTAAAGAATATTTGTTGACAACTGCAAATATAACAGTAACCGAATAAATGCTGAGAATGGAAATGATTGAGAGAGTGTCAGCATAAATATTCCATTAACATACAGAATTTTTAGTTAGAATCTGGTTACTAAAGGAAACCACTTTTACTCTCCATGTGCTAGTCATCTACATAGTTTAACACAAATTTAACAAATATTTTGACTAGACTTCCATTTTCTATTTTCCTACAATTCCACAATTTATCTCAACTGCTTTTTACAATGACTCAGCACCAATGCAATTTGAAAAAGCAGCAGGCCTCATTACAATGTATTCCACACTGGTAAAAGAGTCTAAACAACCCCCTTATAGACACAGCTGCACACAACCGCCTCAGCAATCTGTACTGAGGTCAGGTCACCTTTCTCTCAATTGTCCTACTCTGCACCTCTAAATCTGTTTCCTCTCACTCCCACCTGCTCAATCTTAGAACAAGGAATGCTCTTTTGTGACATTAACTCCTCAACAATGCTCTTGATACCATCCCCCAGGTTCTTGCTCCATTAACTGTTTCTTCTACCTTTATTTTTAGCCTATCTTTTTTTGCATTTTTCCTTCAAAATCTACATATTGTACTTCATTGAATTTACGATGCCATCCACCTTAAACTCACTTTTTAAATGTCTTTTTTCTGAGATAATTTTTTAGTATAGTTTTTACAAAATCCTCAACCAGCTTTCTTTCATGCTAATATCTTCCATTAGCATAGAAAAATTATCAAAATTAAGAAATAAACCTTGGTATCACACTATCATTTAAAAAACAGGATGTATTGAGATTTTCCCAGTTTTTCTACCAATGCCCCACCCCCTATTTCACTGTTTCAAAATCCAATGCAGAATTTCATTATTGCATATAGTTATCCTGTCTCCTTTACTTAACTTCTCCAATCTATGACATTTCCTCAGTCTTTCATGACCTTGAAACCTCTGAAGACATTGACATTTACACTTCAGAATATCCCTCAACATGGGTTTGTCTGATGCTTTCTCATGATCTGCCTGAGATTATACATTACTGGACAGGATGCTACATCATAGTAAGGAGCACAGTACATCAATATGTATCACTGGTACAGATTTATGTATCATTGACCACTTGGCTAACCTGGTGTCTGCCAATACCCCCCTACTACAAAACCATTCTTCCCTTTGTAATTACTAATCTGCTTCTACTGAAAGTTTGCCGATAATTTTGGCACGCATGTATGAAGTGTCAGCAATCATTAGGATATTCTAATAGTGATTTTCTATTCCTCTCATTTCTTCTACATGTATTAATTGGAATTCTATAAGGAAGAGCTGTTGCATCTCTCCCATTTATTTGTTTGCTGTTATTTATAATCAGTATGTGCTCATGGATATTTATTTTATTCTTTTGGTTATAATATACACTATTGTTTTATTTTGTTCAAATTATTTCAACTTTGTCCACTGGGAGCAGTTTCAGTTTGGCTCCTGTGCCCTTTTACTATGTCCTTACCCTTTTGAGCACTTCCTTAATATCTGGCACCACAATATGCTGTTGTTTATATTTTCCCTACATTGGTTCTTGAATTAACCAGCTCTCCAAAGAGCCCTGGAACCTTTAATTGCAGAGTGGCTGATATTTTGAAGCCAAGTGTGCTCAGTGCCACATGAGAGTCACATCACTGTTTCTAGTCTCTTTAACAGAACAAGAAATTTTATCTATGCATACTAATTCATGTTTTCACACATATCTTTATATACGTACCAGTATTTTATTGACTTATTTATTTGAAGAGCTAACTGGCTTTAACTAACATATCTTTATATCCATACAAATATTTTACTTATTTGAAGAGCTCATTGGCTTTAATTCATGAATCCAGCAGCAAGCATCCCATATAGCAACTAGAAGGGTGCTACCTGCAAAAGTATTTTAAAGGACTGTTTTATGTATCACCAAAAAGAAGAAAAAAGTTGCCAATTAAACTATGATATACCATCAATTTTAAGTCTTTATTTGATGTTAAGATGTGAAACGTAAAATCAAAATAGAATATATATGCTCGCATCACTCATCACCTGAAAACAAACCTCCACCTGCCCACAAACTTTAAGGGCCCTTTTTGTTTTATTCTGTTGTCACTTGCTCTCATTCTCACTTCCCCACTCACCAAACACAAATTAAGATCCAAGTTCTCTAAGTCCCTTTATGATTCTGGTTCCTATTTTCCTGTATTGCCTCTCATTAAATCTCTGTGTGCCTTGTGGTAGAACATTTAGGAAGAATTTTATGAGAAAATCTAGAAATAAGAAATAGTGATAAAAGACAGGACAAATATTTCAGCTGACTTGACACTGGTGATACTTATTTTGTCATTTTGTTTTAGATTCATCACTTGTAAATAGTGCAAAGCTGTTCCCTCCCATCTTCTGTTGAACTGAGTTTTCTATGTATGCTGTTTATCTGTTTTATTGTGTGGAAGTTATACATTCTAGTTCTATTCTTCTAGTAATTTACCCTTAATTTATTTTTAATCCTCACCAGAGGATATGCTTGATTTTAGAGAGAGAGAAAAAAATGTTGATCGGTTTCCTCTCACACACACCCCAATGGGGGATCAAATCTGCAACCCAGGTATGTGCCCTGACCGGAAACTGAACAAGAGACCCTTCCGTGCACAGAACTCTCTAACCAACTCAGCCACACCAGCCAGGGCTATATAATAACTTCCTTTCCCACATTTTCCATTTTGCCCTTTTACACCACACTCTGGGAAGGTTCCTCCACTTGATCTTCCAGAAATGAAAACACTTTTTCTGCCCATTTATTGTTTAATTTTACCAATAAAATATTTATTTAATTATTTATATTTTATTGATTTCAGAGAAAGGGAGAGGGAGAGAGAGATGGAAGTATCAACAATGAGAGAGTCATTGATCGGCTGCCTCCCACATGTCCCCCGCTGGGGATTGAGCCCACAACCTGGGCATTGCCCTAATCCGTAATCGAACCTTGATCTCCTGGATAATAGGTTGACGCTGAACTGCTGAGCATGCAGGCTGGGCACCAATAAGATTTTTAGTTGATTTTTATAATAAATCTCCTCTTGCATCTCTCTCATGTTATACTTACTCTATTTTGTTTGTTCTGTTTCTTCAAGTTCTTTGTTTTATTGCATTTAGTGCCCTTCTTTCACTTTGTTGGTTTTCCTCAAATGTCTGTTATAACTGCCTTTTTGTGTGGATCACCTTTGTAGTTGAAATTATGCTAGACTGTTGTTGAATATTTCATCTGTTTGCACAGCCTGCTTCTAGAAGAAAATCTGGCAGCTAAGCTTACATCTAGCACACAATGAAGTATTAAAGGGAGAATGGACTAAGGAGAGTAACACACTGCTGAGTGGAATACAGGATTCCCAGTAGCTGGTTTTCTAGCTAAGTGCCCCCCCCCCATCCATCCTTTGTTAACGTTATCATGAATGTAGAGCATGATGCTTCTCTTAGATTTGAGAACCCACAGCTAGCTACTACTGCCATGTGGAAAAAGACACTTTTAACACTCCCTTTCTAGTCCAGAGCATTTCCTATGACCTAGCAATTGTATTCCTAGGATTATAACCTAAAAGAATGTTTGTACATGTACACCAGGAAATGTGTACATAAAAGTTTCTAATAGCACTCCTTATAATAGTAAGAAACTGGACATAATCATTACCCAACAACAGGTGGGTATATTAATTATGGTACATTAATATAACAAAATATTATATCACAGCAAAAAGGAACTACTGTTACCCACACTGAAAACAGAAAGTTTAGTAAAACAAATTAAAGAATACATTTAAATGAAAACAAAACAGGCAAAACCCAAAATTACACTATTTTAGAATACATTCATAGGTATTAAAAAGTATAACAAGGGAAGGATGACAAATCACAGGAAAGGGTTTATTCTTTAGGAAGGAAGAAAGGAAGCTTTTTGAAGTATTAACAATATTCTATTCTGACCTGTTGGGTAGAATTGTGTGGGATTCTTTTACGTATACACTTGTTTTACACGTTCTTCTGAATGTGTGATATATTCCACCATAAAATAGGGAAGATTACAGCATGTGCTCAAGGTGTAACCTTGAAACAACCAACCGTATTTCCTCACACTCACATTTAATGCTATAAAATATTTTACCTGGTTGACAGATTATTTTACTTAAATATTTCCATATAATTAAGTATCAATGCTCACCAGGTAATGTAAAAGTCTTAGTGTTTCAACAGAATATAGCTCAGAAACAGGTTTATTCTGTCTCATCTGGAACAAGGAATGGTGGTTTTAAGACCTCCTCAGTATTGTTTCCTAGGGCTGCCAAAACAAAATACCACAGACTCGGAGGTATAAACAGGAATTTATTTTCTCACAGTTCTGAAGACTAAAGACCCATGCCCTGGCCAGTGTGGCTCTGTGGTTAGAGCATCAGTTTGATTCCCAGTCAAGGGCATGTATCTGGGTTGCAGGTTTGATCCTCGGCCCTAGTTGAGACGCATGTGGGAGGCAATCAGCGGATACCTCTCTCTCACATCAATCTCTCTCCCGCCCATCTCTCCCACTCTCTCTAAAAATCAATGGAAAAAAATATCCTCAGGTGAGGATTAAAAAAAAAAAAAAAGACTAAAGCCCAAAATCCAGGTGCCAGCATGGTCAGTTTCTGGCAAGAGCTCTCTTCCAGGCTTGCAAGTGGCTACCTTCTCCCTGTGTCCTCACATGGCAGAGAGAGTGAGCTCTCTACTATCTCTTCTTATAATAACACTAATTCTCTTGGACCAAGGCCCTATCCTTACAACCTCATTGAATCTGAATTACTTCTTCAGAGGCTCCATCTCCAACTGCAGCCACACTGGGGGTTAGGGCCTCATGATACAGATTTTGAAGATACACAAACATTCCATCCATACAATCTTTTTAACTCAAGATTTAACAATATTTCTTAGGTTATCAACAACCTGGACATGCAAACAGTTGTCCCACCCCAAAGATGCACTATTTCACTGGAAGAAGAAATCTATGACCTCAGACAACAACCAAAGAGGAAGAAGCTCAGGAAGAAATGTATTCCCCTGAAAAGGCAAGGCAAAGGCCAAGTCCCATGAAAGAGAGGACTGAGAGTTGAACTAAAAACCTCAGTGACTCTTTGTAACAGAGTCCACACTTTCTTTTACTAAGAAAGCTAATTACACTCCCAACTGTCTTAGAAGATAAAGAAGAAATAGAGAGTGGAGAAGAGATAGCTCATTTCTGGGTCTCCTTACTTCCTTACCGTGTGAACAATAAAATGTATTTTTCCATAGTCAGGATTGCAAACCGGCCTGCAAAAAGTCTTCAACTATATGGTAGTTGAATTCATATATAATGGTATGGATTGATTTTAGGTAAATCACTGTAGCCTCTTTCAATTTCTTTGTTGATCACAAGCTATATGAACTCTCACAGTCTTATGTAGGAGTCTAAACTTGTAATGTCGTTTTTCGTGTTTGAGTGTACAAGTACATATGTGTTGATGTGTTTATAAAATGCCTACAGAAAAGACTCAAAAATCTACCAATGGAAAAAAATTTGAGAAATAAATTGTAATCGACTAACCTTCTTCTGTTGCGTGCAGGTGTGTTGCATCGTTCCCCTGAGAAGTGATGTTGACTTGGTCGAACTGAAGGGGGCTGCCTATTTGATGTCATCTCCCATGGTCGCATTGGTGGTGAGGGAGCTGGTGATGCTGATGTATAATCAAAGACTGAATGAGAGAGGCGCTGTCTCTTGGGACTTGGACTATCTTCACTCTGCTAATGCAACAACAAAAAATCAGTCAACTGAATAAGACCTTTTAAGGATTTTAAATTATTGTTTATGCATAGATATTTAAATATATTTACCCTAAAGTGTAAAGGAGGGAAAAAATACACTATTAACCCAAGTTAAATACTTTTAAAGAAAAAGATGCTTGGGGTGAGTTGCGGGAGGGGGGGAGCAGAAGAGAAAGGGAGATGTACAGTAAGTAATATCAAATGAAAAGTAAACTCCGTTTCTTAAAAATAATCATAAAATTCATCAGGTAACAACTATTACAAGATACACAATGGGGCAATAAACAATTGTATGGTATTTGACCATCTCTTAAAAATCCCCATTCAACTAAGAAATTCCATGTCTCCCATCAGTTAACCGTTGCTCTTTTAGGAATCAACTCTTAGCTGAGAGATCAATTTAGGGTTGGGGTATAATTTAAGTAGGCCCTCAACTTTATTCTAAACCATACTCCTCAGCATCCTTATTTCTGTTGTTTAAGGCCATTACATTTATCTTCTTTAATAACAGTTACCTGGATAAAGTAAGATTTATATAAAAGAGATAAAGACAAAAAAATAGTCAACAGATCTAGATCAGTGATTTTCAACTGGTGTGCCACAATAATTTTTAAAACACGCACTACCTGACTATTTAGTTAGGAGCACTGACCTCTTTTCCTTTAGATTATCAAACTTAAAAAATGACAAAAGCCGACACAACAATAGCGGTCCCGTGTGAATGAATCAAAATTATACCTTTTTTTGTTACATCAGAAAAAAAAATTTTTTTTGGTGTGCTATGGAATTTTAGTAATTAGGATCTGAGTGTTATGAGATGAAAAGGTTGAAAAATCACTGATCTAGATTATCATTTCTTAACCAGTATGTCACAGCATTTTGGGAAATACACGGAGTTTCGGGTAGATCATGAGAATGAGTCATTTAAAACTTCTGTATGCTACGTGCTAGCACATAGTCTCAAGTTTTCAAGGGTCACAGCATTGCTTACTAGCTATAAAATTGGTATGAATTACTTAACTGAATTAACTCTCCAGGAGTCCCCATACAACTCAATTTCCTAATTGAGCCTCACCAAAACTGTCAAAATTACAAGTTAACTCAGAGTCTGATGAGGGTTATATTTTCCTAAGAGAACCCCTCCTAAATCCAATCTACTCCTGGTGAGTTCTAATTATTTGGGTAATACAGCACTTTTGATCGTAAAATAATTGGTACGTGCTGGTAGCACAAAAATCATGTTAAAATATTAGCTGAAGAGTATATGGTGCTACATACTACAACGTCAGATTTTAAGAGATAACATAAAACAGAACTGACTAAACTGATAGAAAAGCAGCAAACTGCTAAATGGTTATTTCTGATCATCTCGAATGATTTTAACAGAGATATTCCAAAGACCAAATCATTTTCCTTCTATATTTAAGAATATTTCAAATATGTCATTGTAATTAAAACAAAATAGTTTTTAGAACCATATACTCTTCTGTAACTCTGCAGCACACTAACCTTTTCTCCCTAGATTTAACAGTGTTATTAAAAGAATGCTTGTTCTTACCCCTTGCTTTTAGTAAGAAAATCAGTTATGTTCTGATAATCCTAAAACTTAAAAAATGAAAAATAACCATTGAAATTTAGATATTTTGATTCAAACAAACAAACAAAAAACGGCAGAATGAGCAACACTTGACTAAAAATCATCAGTTTCCAACAAAGGAAAGAGGAAGTAAACTACCAAGAAACAAAAATTAGTTTAGCATTAGACTTTCCACAGAAAACAAAAGTTAAAAGTGCTCTGAGGGAAAATAATATTGAACCTAGAATTTTACACACTAACCAAGCTATTTTAATCTAGTGTGAGGGCAAAAACAAAGATCTTGCCAGACTCAAAGCTGCTTCTCAAGCCCTGGTTGGTGTGGCTCAGTTGGTTGGAGCACCGAAGGTCGCAAGTTCGATTCCCAGTCAGGGCACATACCCAGGTTGCGGGTCCAATCCCTGGTCAAGGTTCTTAAGAAAGGCTGAACAGATCACTGTTTCTCTCACAGTGATGTTTCTCTCTCTCCCTTCCTCTCTCTGTAGAATCAATGAAAAACATGTCCTCGGCTGAGGATTTAAAAAAAGTTGCTTCTCACATATTTGTTTAGAGAAATTTACTAGATTGATTTTATAATGTGTGTGAGCAAGTTCTTTCTCTATTTCATTTGAGGAAATATATACAAATACAGGATATCCAATAAACAGTAGTAGTGAAAAGGATCATGGCAGGTACAAAAAGTAATCATTACAAATTAGAACAAGGAGTCAGAGGACTCTAAGAAAAATACCCTAAATAATGTGGATGCAAAAACAGTATGATTGAGAACTTGGAAGTTCTTAATAAAATGTAAGCACATGGCTCTTTTGTGATAAGAAATGGAAAAGGTAATCAGAGAGTCTAGGAAAAACAAATCCATATTATTCTGTCACCTAAAGCATTCTTTGAGTTGAATAGTGTGAAGACTACATCTCCTTCTCATGGGCCAACATGCTACTTGGTCCTGCAATGACTATACAGATATACCTAATACTATGAAGGATATTTAATGGTTTTCAATTATTATAATTAACCGAGGTCAAGGCATGAAAGATCACTGTTATAGTTACAGAACAGAACAGCCCTAGCTGGGTAGCTGAGTTGGTTAGAGAATCATCCCAACACACCAAGGTTGTGGGTTCAATGCCCAGTCAGGGCATATACAAGAATCAACCAATGAATGCATAAATAAGTGAAACAAATGGATATCTGTCTGTCTCTCTCCCCTCCCCTCTCTCTAAAGAACAATCAATAAATAAAATTTTTAAAAAAAGAAAAAGAATATAAGATTGTAAACTTTGATATGATATAAAGACTTTTTTGTGACAAAATCATGGACTAAATGTGAAAATCCTAGTATAAATATCTAGAAATAATGGCACAAAAATACTTTTTAAATGCATCACTGAACTCAGAAACAAAGAGGAAGTTACCAAAGACCAGAGAGAAAGAGGATAACTGACAACCAGCTTTGTTTTGGATGTTCCCAGGGAGGACAAAAGACAAGGTCTATCACTGAGACCCCTGCACACCAGAATTTCCAATGTAGTGTGCTTTCAATAAAAGAGAAGACCAGAAAAAGTCAGCCCACTGGTATGGAGTCAATAAGGACAGAGATGTCTATGTGGTCTGGATTGGTCACTGGAATAGGTATTACTCCTCTACGAATTTAAACCATGGGTTAGCTCTTCACACCAAGTTTGGGGTTCAAATACACAATTGCTAAATTGGATGATAATACAGAAACTGCCAATTTTTAAAACTGTAAGGGACTGATAGCAAAGAAGCAAAAAGGAATTTTTTGGGGTGATGAAACTGTTCTACATCTTGATTGTGGTGGTTCCACAATCTGTATGCATCTGTTATAACTCACAGACCTCTACACTAAAAGGGTGAATCTGACTGTATATCAGTTATATCTCAAATTAAATTTTTTTAAAAAATTATAGGAGGCATTTCAATTCTAATTTTAAATACAGCTTATTTTTTATAGAGATGGAAATGTGCCACTTTTGTAAGAAAACCCTGAGCAATAAATACAAAGCTATCACTTTTAGAGAAATATTAAAATACTAACTAAATGTACATCAGGAAACATACGAGGATATTCATGGCAGCATTACTTTTAATAATAGTGAAAAATTGGAAACTACTCAAATGTCCCTCAAAAAGAGAGGGGATAAACTACAGTATAGCCATATAACAAATGGAATACTAAAAGAAGGAAACAGATTAACACAGCCACATGCATCAATATAGATGAATCTCAAAATAACAAAAATACACAAAGTATGATACCATTGATATTAAATTCAGAAACTAAATAGTATATAGTACTGAGGGATACTGCATGTGGGAAAGCCATATGGAAAAGCAAAGGGATATTAAACACAAATTCAGCAGAGGTTTACCCAAGGCACAGGTATGGGACAGCAGGTGGATGTAATATGGAAGGTCACATGGGAACTTCATTGTAACAGTTGAATTCTAAGCTGGATGTTGTTGCTTTTTAAATTACACGTGTTGCCTTATATTTTATAGCTTGCATATATGAAATACTTCATAATTTTAAAAATTAAAAAAGCATGCAAAATTGGAAAGATATTGACTAGGAATAATACAATATAAAGCAAGCAAGTAAAAAAGAAGCTAATTACAAAAGTCTTTAATAAACAAGGAAAATGACAAAAAATTCATAAACAGTGAAGATGAATGACAAAGAGAAATCAAAAACAAGATAAGCTTTTTTTTCAAAAACTGGGGTCGGAAACATGGATCCAGGAGACTATCAACACTGTCCTTCTCCTCTGTGGCCCTCCCACTTACCAGCCACATACCTAAACCCATGCTTGGAATGGGAAAAATCACTAATTTCTTTTCCCCTAGAGAAGGCTGCAGGGAAAATGATGTCCTCAGAAAAGATACTAGTTTCAGCAAAGATAAGGAAGTAGAGAGGTGCTTTAAGAAAAAAAAAAAAAGGAAGAGGTAGGTGAGTCTGTTTAAAATGAAGTATTCTAAAGAGAAGAAAAAGTAGAAAGAGTTGGGAGGGAAGGAACTTGGGGAAAAAGCCAAGAGTAAGAAAACATGAGTATATTAAGGAAGTAACTTTCTGAGGCTAGGACACAGCTGGGTAGGTTCTCTTTTTAATGTGGCAACTACATTTTACAAGGATGAGAAGCATAATCAGAACTAAGAAATCACACCTAATTTTGGTATCAATCAGTTGAAGGTATCTGACAGTATCTCAAAGGGGATGTGAGAAGGATCTACTATTTTGTTTCATGCAGAACAGTGGGAGGGCAGTAAATGGGTAAAGAAAATCTCCAGTCTCCTTTGGGGGCAAAGTACACTGAGGGCCTTATTCTAAAGTTAGAGAAAAGTAAGATGTAAGTTAAATTAGAACTATAAATAACAATATCTTCGCAACACCCAAATAGAATCAGCTCTATATCCTGTTTCATTTTCAAAACATGGGTTTAAATCTATTGCATCTGGCAGTTCTCTGAGTTTAAAGTTAATGTTGAGTTAAAGCCTGAAGTCTCAAAGTATAAAAAACACAGAAAATGTCAAATAACTTGTTTACTGGTGGCGGTAGTTAAGGTACTAAGTCAATTTTTCCTTATTGGTCCCCTACTAAATATCAAGGTATTACAGGCTAATGCTACATCAAAAATGGCATTCAGCCTGGCAGGTGTGGCTCAGTGGCTGAGCATCAACCCATGCACCGAGAGGTCACTGGTTCAATTCCGGGTCAGAGCACATGCCCAGGTTGCTGGCTGAATCCCCAGTAGGAAGCATGCAGGAGGCAGCTGATCACTGATGTTTCTCTCTCACTGATGTTTCAATCTCTCTATCCCTCTCCCTAAAAATCAATAAACATATTAACATGTACTGCATCGTGTTTAAAGAAATACTATTATCGAAAGGGCAGTAAGTAGGCAAATATAGTAGATAAGAAATAGCAAAAGCTGGATCTGAGTCTCTGCTCTGCCAATAGCTAGGTATGTAACTGGGCACCTTGGTGTGCTTTTCCAAACTTATTTCCTTTTTTTTAATACTCACCTGAGGATATTTTTCCCATTGCTTTTCAGAGAGAGCGGAAGGGACAGAGACAGAAAACATCAATGTGAGACAGACACATCGACTGGTTGCCTCCCATACACGCCCTGACCAGGGCCAGGGATTAAGCCAACAACTGAGGTACGTGCCCTTGGCTGGAATCAAACCTGGGACCCTTTAGTCCATGGGCCGACCAAGCCTATTTCTTCATCTAGAAAACCACCCATGATTAGTTTACTAGTTTTATTATTAAAAACAAAATAAGATAATATATGCAAAGCAGAGAACCTAGCACAAATTCCAAAAAGGAATATTATCCAGATGGAAGAATCCTGAATCACCTACACAGCTAGCTTCAGAAACTGGACATCTCCAGTTTAATGTGTCACAAGCATTCCTCTTTCAAAACTAGTCCCAAGCTGCAACCTGCCACTCCCACACAAACAGAAAATGAGCTGGCTCTATCTAAAACTTCTAGCCTTGATTAGCAACTCTCATTACCTCAGATTTATATACACATGTACAAATATATAACATGGGCAAAACCCTAGCATCCAAGAATCAATTCTGTAACTGAGTTTCCTTTGTGGTACCTATGGATTAAAAGTTTAGTAGTTAACAATTTATATGAGCATATTTTAATAATCTTTTTAATAACATAATGATGATTTCAATCCATTCACACCTCATTTTCATTTAATATGTAACAAAATTTTAAATCACATTTTATCCAGAGATATCAAAAGTCATTGAAGGCAACTAACCATGTTTCTTCTCTGAAATATGCATTACTATATAACTAAGCACTAAGCAAATAAGTAGTGACAGCTTTAAAAAATCTGTTATATGCTTCCATTTTTCCTTTGCTACACAATTTCACATATTCTGTAATATTTTCTACTTGCCTACAGAACTTGGCCTACTAGGACAAGCGATTAAGACCAAAAGATCAAAAAACAAGAATATTAAATGGTCAAAAAATTAACAACAGCTCAAGAGAAGACAAACATTCTTCAGAAAAGCAGGCTGAAAATTTTATATTAAGAAGTCCTCTAAGAAGAATATTCATTGCACACAGAACAGAAAATAAGAAGAAGGAAGATACTGAGAATTTTGTTTCAAGCCTTCCTAGAAACAACCTAGAATATTATCTGTGATTTTCAGCCCTGTGTAGGGAAAGGGTAAATATATAAGAACCTGGAAGAAAGCTTTGAAGTGAGCATCCTCTTGAACGGTAGTGTTCTGATCACTTGGGAGGAGAGGGAACAGGCTCTGAAGTCTCACCCTTTCACAAATCACCTTGTTAGGATGGCCAGGTAGAGGTGCTGAATTGGCCCCGGGAGATATCTGGGAAAAAGAGGGAGAAGAAAAGGATAGTTCATGGCTATCTGCACCAATGTGGAGAATCATGCCTATGAAGGACAGTCTCGATTTCCTAGGTATTTGATTTAGCAGAGACTGGAAATAAATAAAAAATTAATCTTAAACATCAAAACAAATGCTAAGAACAGCAACGGTTGCCTCTGGCAATAGATCTCTCTTAGAAAAACATTTAAGGCAAAACAGCACTGTTCAAGAACACAGACTCCTTCCTATTTTTCCCAAATAATTTCTATTGATATTTGTTGGTATTAATTCTGAAATCCTAAAGGATACAGACAAGACTTTATGCTAAGAAAACCTGAGGTAAAAATTGTATCTCTTACATACTGAAAGATAAGTGTCCACCTGAACTAAGATAAATATATTTTCTCATTTTACTTTTAAACTTCCAAATGATTGTACAAAAGATGATGAATAAGTACAGAACATTTGTGGCAAAACTTCTATAGCGATCATAGGCATAAAAAACAAGACCATGGTAATCTCACCTCTATTCAGCACAAATTTAGCAACTTTCCAAAGGAATAAAAGGCCAGATCATAAGCCCTCAAGTAAATGACTGGAATGTTTTAAATGCATGACTTGATTGCAGGTTAATCCCCTTAAACTCATATGTAAATATACTTAATCTGTAGCATTTTAAATCACAGACGTCACAAGCATCACCTGTTCCACAGTGCTGTGGAGTGAACTGCCCCCTCGGGGGTGAGGCTTTGTGGACCTGCCTGCCCCTACACTGAAGACCATGTGCTTTAAGGCTGTCTTGTTTTTAGGGCCTCATTGCCTCATTCACTCCCCTACATAAGTGTCTATTCTGTGACAGGCAATAAACCAAAAAGATAGGCATGGTTTCCTACCTTCAAGAAGTGTGTGCTATAAAAAAGAAATAAATAAAAGCAAATCATTCTACAATATAGAGAGTATCATCTTTCTATGATAATGGTAGGTACTGGGTGCTATGGAGGGATAAGTGGCAAGAGATAGCAGTCCAGTCAGGAAACTGCAAAATGTTCAGTAAGGCTGGTCAGAAAGGAAGTAGCCAGAGAGTAAGGCAAACAGAGATCATGAAGTGGCATGCTATATATTAGTAATCCTGCTATAATAAACTTCCTTAGCTCCTTTATAAATTTTTGTTTCTGGTTTGCTATGAGCCTGGTAAACAGATAGCCATGCCTGTTGGTAAGAGCAAACTTCCAAAGATCTTCCTAGGAGTAAACGAAAAACACTTGAGGGCAGTAACTTTTGAATTCATTAGTACTGCTACACCAAATGTTCTGAACATGAATTTAAAGCTTATCTCTGCACTACAAACACGAATGTTATAATATTCTTTACCACTATGATGAAGTACGAATTGCTGAATCAAGGACTATTTACTGACTGTCTCCTATAAGTAAAGAGTTAAGTTAGGAAGATAAAACATGAATCCCACCTTCAAAAAGCTTACTCTAGTTTTGTGTGTGTTTTTGAAAAAAAGATGCAAGTAGCCAACTATAAGACAATGTTTTAAATGCCATAATACAGGAAAAATTAGAATACAGGTAAAAGTCCTGGGTTTATTTGAGGGTAAGAGTAAGAAAAAATTTCATAGGAAAAAGTGTTTCAGCACTCCTGACTCCTCAGTCTAAGGCATTCTTTTTACCATTTTGGCAATTCTTTCCTCTCAAAACAGTCTGTTCCTCTATGATGGTTTCACATTCTTTTTGCAATCTTCTTAAGCTTTTAATTTGCACAGGAAGTACCTCTGAAGAGTTATTTTAATAAGGCCATCTGCCTTCAACTATCACACCTAAAGCAGTCTGTATGAATAGCACTCTTACAAACTGCTCCTGCAAGTAGCTGGCTGGGAAAACAGAATCAGAGGATCAGGTTTGCTCTCCTTCATTCTTTTTCCTTTGAAAACGTAAGAAACTAGCAACCCCTGGCTGCCATGGCCACAGTTAATAATTCTGAAGCATATTCCTCTCCTACTCACAACATCCTTTAGTCAGAAGCTCCATTTGTCTATAAAAAGGGAGAAAACAACAGAAGGGAGAAAAGCTATATTCAATTCCTATAGTTAATACAGATCTGAGACAAAAATGATACATGGGTTTGATCAAAACCAGATGCCGCCACTGGATAAGATAAAATCATACACAATCACTGCGTGTGGGGGCGTTAGAGAACCTAAGATGGCCTCCAAGACTCCCACCTCTGGTGCGCATCTGTATAACCCATCCCTCCCTGGTGTATCGGCAGGACTGTAAATACGGGCGAATTTTATTCCCGTGAGTAGGTTAAATCACATGACCTAAATTAGACAAAGTCCTCCACAGAGGTGAAGGGATTTTCAGATGTAATCATAATTCTAAGTCGGTTGGTTTAAGTTAGTCAATCACAAAGGGGAGATTATCCTGGGTAGGCCTGACTTAATCAAAGAAAGCCCTCAAAAGAGGAACAGAGCCCTTCCTGAAGAGATCCTGCTGTCAAACCCGCAGACTAAGCTGCTATGTGTGAGAAGGCACACTAAGGGGGCCATGTGGAAGAGACCTGACAGCACTCTAAGAGCTGAGAGTGGTCACCAGGCAGCTAGCAAGAAAAATCACAAGAACCATATTAAACCAAGAACAAGTGAGCAGAGAAAAGAACATCAAGTCTCTGATGAAATCACAGCTCCGATAAGGTAAGACCTTAAACAGAGAGCCCCACAGCTAACCCATACCAGGACTCCTGACCCATGAAAAGTGTAAGACAACAGATTTGTGTTTTAAGCTACTAAATTTGTGGTAATTTATTACACAATAGAAAACTAACTAAACATACACACACACACATATTAAAAATAAAAATTACTGTACCACATGCAAAGGAAACTTTCTTCTCCAGAATTTTAGCTATATTAATTTATGAAAGATATAAATTAAGACATCTTTAAGCAATACAACAGTTTTAAAAATCTCAATCTTGTAATAGCTAACTTCATGCCAGGAAATGAACTGGGCTCTGATCTTTACACAGTGCAAGTCAGGGTTAAGTGACTTTCTTAAAGCCACACATCTCATAAATACTAAGAACCATAATTTAAAGGCAAGTCTATATCGCCTCTAAGGTTCATACTGAGCCCCACTAAACCACCTTGTAGTTTAAGAATTTTAAAAGTAACATTCTTCTTTATAATGCAGTTGGCTTAGTAACTAACAATTATTCCGCAAGGCCTATTTAAAGCTATATCAAGTATTTTTAAATATATTTGTTTCCTTCTAAACTGTTTGACATAAATTTCCACTACTGCCCTAATTCTCCCTCAGTAAAAATTACTGAGGTTATACTATATCTGAAAATTGATACAATTCTATTTTTCTCTAACAAGGCAAGTGTTGAACATTACAAAGACATAGTAACTTCAGCCTTCTCTCAGAATGCAACTTATATTTAAAAATTCATGCCAAGAGAACATCCCTGAGATGGGATTAAACCTGCAACTCACATATTTAAAAATTCATGCCAAGAGAACATCCCTGAGATGGGATTAAACCTGCAACTCACACACTTCTCATTTTTAATGTTTATTTACATATAACTGTATAACTAATCCACCCAGCATAACTGAGAAAAGCAATGTTTCACAACACTAAAGTTATTTAAAACTATTTAACACTTTTAAGTACCAACGCATTACTATTTTAAGACATCTTTTGTTTAATGTGGCCTTTCCCTGTCTTGGTAACCATAATATAACCAAGAATTTAACCTTTGTCTTCGAGAGTGCAGGAATTATTATCAGTTATTGTGCTAAAAATAACATAGGACTTAGGTCCAGATATTGTGCCAGAACTTGCTTCCTCCAAAATAGTTTGACTACAGCTTCCTTCTTCATTCATTTACATTTTTCTCATAAAGGTGAGGCACAGGATACGTAGGTGTATTAAGTAATGTGCTTTCTACACAATAAATTGCTCAAAGGCCCAAACGGCTTTCTCCAAAATAGTCACATTACTCTCCAGAAAAGGAAAAAAATGTTGTTACTTGCTATAATATCAACTGGTCAGCAGCACTCAAACTACAGCCTAACAGAAGAAGGGGAAAACAAAACAAGGTAAGGAGTCAGGCGCTTAGTGCTGACCCCTAGTCCTTTACTCCTGTACCTAAGTTTGGGCATCTAAAAATGAAGAGGTCAAATTCAAATTATCCAAATAGTCTCACTGCTTCCAGGGTGGAAAGTAATCAGGTAGGTTTTATTAATTCAAAAGTTTGAATCCGTAATCTTTCCTCTGATAAATTCTCAAGTTATACTCCAAAACATGGGAAAAACCGTATGTAACATATATTCATCACAGCACATTTACAGCAACAATTTAAAAGGGAACTAGAAGTAACCCAAATGCTTAACAAGTAAGTTATTTGCTAAGATTATGGTATCCATGCTTGGTGGACTACTATGCAGTCCTTAAATCATTCAAGGACTGGTACTACCTATGGCGGGAAAAGGGGGTGTCATCACTGTATCGCAGTGGGGCAATTCTTTTTAAAAACAAACTATTCCCTTTTTTAAAAAAAAATGTTTTTATTGATTTCAGAGAGAGGAAGGGAGGGGGAGAGAGAGAGAGAGAGATAAAAACATCAATGATTAGAGTCACTGATCGACTGCCTCCTGCACACACCCCCTGCTGGGGATCAAGTGTCAACCTGGTCATGTGCCCTGACCGGGAATTGAACCCCAATCACCTAAGACCCTCAGTCGATGCTCAACCACTGAGCCATGCACGGCCAGGCCTACTCCCATTCTTAAGTTAAGGGTCCATGTCTTTCTGGAAGCAGAGCAGAGCCAGGATTGGTGAAAGTAGCCAAAAGGCTCCACTCTACCCTTCCCCCACCTCACAATCTCATAAATTAATGGGAAGGAGGGGAGAAGGTAGGCACATTACATGTACTGAGAAGGTGAACACAAATATTAGGAAAAATAAGAGTTACACATTCTTTTAATAAATTGTTTCTTTTGCTTCCACAATCCAGATTTGCCTGCACAATGATTATTCTCCCCTCAAGGAAGTATATCTAAAATCATTTTACTTACACTGGTAACCTCTTAATTGATTCTAAAGTATCTCTTCAAATTTAGCTTTAAGAATTACATGGATCTGGAAGACATTCGGACCATGACCAGTCCAAATCAATGAAACACTTGTGTATTTAAAAAGATGAAATGAGACTGAGCTGATGATTCTTATTAAATAAGTCATAATTAATT